CCCAAGAGACCTCCAACTAACACCCAATAAGCCCACAAAGCGTCTCAAATGGCCACCGGCAACGGCAAAAGGCATTGAAAAGGCTTCCCCGAAGCCTCCAAAGTCCAGGGAAGGCCCCAAGGAATTCTGAAGCAGACCGCCTGCTGGATGCTCGCGGTACAAGGTGCCACATGTTACGGCCTTTACGAAAAACGCTTGGCCAGGGCAGTCGTTTTGCGTACGGAGTTTGCCGGGTATATCCTTGTGGGTTGGCGGACTTGCATGTGCCTCTCGAATACGTGGCCTTCCCCACAAACAAAACTTGCGGCCCGAGCTTATGGTAAGGAGATGCGGAGGACCTATAGTAAAGGATCGGGGCGGGGTGATGCCACGCCGAAATGAATAGGTCGGGGCGGAGGGGGCGCTCTGGCTGGTGGGTGGGGGGATGCGGAAGAGGCGCGCGGGATGGGGGGGGGGCGGTGCCGTGCCGATATCAAAGGTCGGAGCGGAGGGGGCGCTCTGGCTTGTGGGTGGGGGTTCGCGGAGGGGGCGCGCGGGGTAGTAGGGTGGCGGCGCCGTGCCGAAGTACAGGGGTCGGGGCGGACGGGGCGCGCTGGCTGGCGTGTGGGGCGATGCAGAGGGGGCGCTCGGGATGGGGGTTGTGTGTGCTGTGTGTTGTGTGTGTGTGTTGTGTGTTCTGTGCGTGTGCGTGTGCGTGCGCGTGTGCGCGTGGGCGCGTGGGCGCGTGGGCGCGTGGGCGCGTGGGCGCGTGGGCGCGTGTGCGCGTGTGCGCGTGTGCGCGTGTGCGTGCGTGCGTGTGTTGTGTGTTGTGTGTTGCGTGTTGCGTGTTGTGTGTTGTGTGTTGTGTGTTGTGTGGTGTGTGTTGTGTGGTGTGTGGTGTGTTGTGACTTGTGTGTTGTGTCTTGTGTGTTGTGTGTGTGTGGTGTGTGTGTATGTGTTTGTGTGTGTGCGTGTGTGTGTGTGTGTGTGTGTCTGTGTGTGTGCGTGGGGGGGGGGGGGCGCGCCCAAAAAATCAGGTCGGGGCGGAGGGGGCGCGCTGGCTGGTGGGCGGGGTGGTGCCGAGGTGGCGCGCGGGATAGGGGGGGCGGTACCGTGCCAAAAAAAAGGGTCGGGGCGGAGGGGGCGCTCTGGCTGGTGGGTGGGGGGATGGGTAGGAGGGGGGGCGACGATGCCATGCCGAAATAAGAAAGGTCGGGGCGGAGGGGGCGCGCTGGCGGGGGGGCGGTGCCGTGCCGAAATACAGGGGTCGGAGATCTAGACACCCTCTGCAAGAGAACAAAAGGTTCGACTGCGCCGACATTCGCGCGTGAGCGTCCTGGGGATGGCCGCGCGGAAGCTCCCTCGCTTCCAATGTGGCCTGCCACGCTGGCGGCCCGCGTAAGCCTCGGCGCAGGGTCGCTGCTGCTTCTCGCTCAAGATTCGTCCGTTTTAGTGGCCGAACTGCATCGAAATTCCATTATCGTATTACGCTTGCTCCGCCGGTCGCTCAACCCCGGGTGGCCCCAGATCTGTCCGCCGCGTCCGGCGGCAGGCGCACCCCGAGGCGACCCGCGCGGTCTTCGGCGCCCACGCGAGCTCGCTGGCGGCGGCGCTGCAGGCGCACCGCGCCGCGGCCACCGCCCTGCTCTGCTCATTACCGCCGCCGCCGCCGCCGCCGCCACCCGTCCGTCGTGGTCGCTGCCATCGGCTCGAGGTTTGAGATTCTGGGCACGTGTCATAGATATGTGGTGGCTTTCCAGCTTGCATCCTCGGGATGCCTTCCAGCGGCTGCGGCTCGCAGAGAGCGCCCTGGGGGTGCCCAGATCGCCTCGGACGGCCGCCGAGAGCCGAATTAAAACCCAAAAACCTCGAGCCATCCCCAGACCGACGACTTGATTTTTTCAACTGTCGGTTTTTGCTCGGTTTGATCCCCCGGGGCCGGCCACCGAGCCCCAGGGCCACCAAACATGTATCCGGAGCGACTAACTGGCCGCAAGGAGGGGGTCGGCACCTGTGGCGGGGCCGCGGGTTGAACAAATCATATCGGAGGATGTTTGGGATCGCCGTCGTCATCGTCAGCCGCCGCCGCCGTCAGTCGTCGTCGTCGCCGCAGCCGGGACGTTGCGGGGGCCCTCGGGGCATTGAGGACGAGTGCGCTCGCGATGAGTTAAGCAAACATCAAAGTTCCAGAATATGAGGCTGGGCGCACCTGGATAACTAAGAGTGACGCGGTGGTTTCAGGTTGCTGGAGGATCGCGGTTTGACAATGCTGCCTTACATGGAGCGAGGATCAACGCGTGTTGACCAAAGGTTAATTCTCGAGAGGAAGCCGCACTGTTCCGAGCCGCCTTCACGAAGGTTGCCCGCTCTAAGCAATCATATTCATCTGCAGGCAGAGGCGCCTCCAGGACGAGTAGGTTCTTGCGTTGACTGGAAATTGTAGTCTCATTACTTCGTACATAGCACACATGGCACGTGCGCGCCGAGGCTCACAGAATCGAGCAGATGGATGCAAGCAAGCACTTAGGGAATATGTTCGAAAGGTGGGGCACTTCCAATGGGGCCAGGGCAAGCAAAGTTTGTCGAGAACAATGTATTCGGGAATGCGCTAAGCAAGTGCGTCAAACGTCTCAACACATAATTTGTTAAGCATCTGCGTTGAACAAGCCTCTCTAAACCCTAAGTTTTGGCTTGGCATAGTAACGTGCAACATCGACGAAAACACATCGTGCAACATCGACGAAAACACATATTTCTCATACACCCAGTGTTACTAGCCACTAGAGGTTCAACGGGTGCATTTGCACGCACAAGCAAGACATGGGGGGGCAAGCAGCCAACAAAACAAACACACAAACTTCACAAACAAACAGCATACGAACATCCACGGGTAACCATTACCGAATGTATGTGTGATGCAGGCGTACTTCGAACAAGCCCTCGACTCCCGCCCCCTTCGTCTTGGGGTTATTCTTCCACAGCAGCTCCCTGGCAAATCCCGACGGGGGGGGGGGTCGGGCGGGCGGACCCTCACGGGCGGGTCGGGCGGGTGGACCCTCACGAGCGGGTCGGGCCGGCAGACCTTGTCGGGCAGGACGGGCGGGCGGAACAGTCGAGCGGCGGGAACAGGAGCGGCGGGCGGGCCGGGTTTTGTCTGACCTTGCCAGGCGGTTCGAGGAGCGGGTCTTGGGCGGGCGGGTCGGGCGGGCGGTTGGTGAAAGCGCGATGTCTTGAAACATCTCGGGGAGGCATCGGGCGAGAGGGCGATGCCTAGTGATCTGTGAGGCAGTCCTGGACGAGACTGCGGTTCCTGAGCGGCGAGAGCGCAGTTCTCTCCCGAGCAGATCGCGGGGGGTCGCAAGCGAGAGTGCGATTCCTGAGCAGCGAGAGGGAGCGGCGCTCCAGTAAAATGTGAGGGGAACCAGGCGAAGGCGTGATTCTTGAGCAGATTGCGAGGAGTTTTGGAGCGAGGGCGCAACTCCTGCATAAGTGCGAGGCAGTATCGGGCGGGAGCCGCTGTTGTTGTTGTTGTTATGCCAGAAAGCTGGACATGCATGATGCGGTTGGCCTGGGCGAGAGATGGATGCACACTTGGCCGATGTCTGTCCAGCGCTCGGTCCTTGTGAAGACGTGCGTGGCAGGTTTTCGCAGGTGCATCCAGCACGTGGCCTTCGGATGTTCCACATGTGACTCCAGCCATGTCTGTTTCCAGCTTCCTGGTCGCCTGGGGGCTGACAGAAAACAGGGTGCGAGCGTCGCGGGGGGCAGTTCAGACGAAACAGCGCACAGTTGGCCCTTGGAGGAGGAGATCAACAGCAGCTATTCTTCAGAGATGCGAGTTCTACAACACATAGCGTCTGCGGACCCCGACGCCGCAATCTGCGCGAGGGGTGCGTTCGATTTTAGAATGCTGAGGACCTCCCACGCGAAACAGCCAGCAGAAACACGAACCGCCGGCGCCAATGAGTTGTTCTGAGCTCGAGTCCATTGGAGAGGTGCGTGTAAAATAACCATTGCGGGCCCGGGCCGAAATTCTTATCGATTCGAATCACATTGGAGACTCCGCGGTCGGCGTGTTGGGTGAACGTGCCGAGGCCAGATCCAGAGGATCCCCAAACCCTCGCGTTCCCCGCCCCTGCGAACAGCGCCGACGTCGAGCATATGAATACGGTGGTGACGACGAGATGACGATCGGTACGTGAAACCAGTTTCTTGTTTGTCCGTCCTGAGTTTGCGGGCCACACCCAGGCGAGGCTGAGTCCACTTGAAGATTTTACCGATAGTTCCGACGTTGGCACAGCGTTAGCACATGGACCGTTCTGTTTCATTGGCGGGACCAGGGACTATTCCGAAGCCTTTTCGGGGGGCTCATGGCAGAGAGGTCGCAAGTTGTTTGTTGGTCTGGGCGAGGCAGGAGGAGTCCGGTCAAGGTCGCACTGCCCTAGGGAGGTCAGCATATTCGGCCTCGTGCAGCATCCTTTGGTCGACCAGCGCCCTTGAAATCCTCGCCAGCTCCTCTCGCACTGTGTTGGGGGGTATGAGCGCTCGCTGGAGATCTTGTCTGAGGAACCGGCCCAACCACGATTTGCACCGCAATGTCGCACGGTTGGTTGCCCAGAGGCCTCGAGAGTAAGAACGGGGCTCCTTCTCTTTGCCCCACAGCATTGAGGCCAGGGCTCGTTTCTTACTCAGCAGGCTATCGTGCGTGCCAGCACCGCCAGCATTGCTGGGTGAGGTTCCTGCGAGCAAAGGAGGGTGGCCTTTAAACCAACAGCAGTGGAGGCACCTTAGGAGGGATCTTATGAGATGGATGGAAAAAAAGGGACGAACAAATGGGATGGAAATTACATCTCAGAGAGTTCTGGCTCCCCACCTTCGCCATGTCCCCACCTTCGCCATGTCCCCTTCTGCTTGCCGCCACCCCGTGCGGCAGTTGTGGTGTTTTTGGGGGCAACGTGACCCCCCAGAGGTCTGGACCCCTTCCCAAGGATCGCCTTTTCATCCTGAGTAGTTGTTTGACGGTCTGGGGGGCCAGCCAGGGCTCCCAGAGGCAAAACGGGTTTTGTTGTTGGTGTCAGATTCAGTATTCCGTTGCGTGTTTCGTTGTCTTCTGTTTCGACGGTTCTAATGTGTTATGTTGTTTTGGCTGCGCGGACGAGTCTCCGTCATTACCTTCTCGTCCTGTGTTTCAGATCTCGATGGTGGCAGGAGTCCCTTTCTGAGCCGCGGCGCTCGCGCGGCCATGACGAAGCTAAGCATCGTCCTCAAGCAGGACGAAGTCCTCGCCCTGCTCAGCAGGCTCTCCCCGTCCCTGCTGGTGAAGGTGCGGAGGGCGTCGCGGCTCTTCGTGTGGCGCCTCGACGACGCCCGCATGCAGCAATTGCAGCAGCACCTGATCGACGAGTTCCACCTGGTCTTCCAGGACGTGCGCGTGCCGTGCGAGCGTGGAGAGGCTCAGAAGATGAACAGATACCGATACCGCTGCCCCTCCTCATCGTCTGCCGCAGCCGGATTCGTTTCGAAAGTCTAGTCAGAATGCACCTTGGCGGTGGTCAAGGGAGTAGCGGTATGGGTACCTTGTTGTCCCCCAGAGCCGGGCTCGAATCATAATATTTATATGTATGTGTCTATCTATAAATATATGCGTTATATAGCATAAGTTTTCGGCGCTCCACGCAGAATTATCGGATCTGTGCCCGCGGCGCCTAGCGGCGCCTCCGGCGCCCGCCCTGGCGCGCCCGGCCCGCCATGGGAGGGGGGCCCAGCGCCGATTCACGAAACCCGCGCGGATTTCCGAGAGGTTATATTCATGGTTTGGCTTGTTCTTCGAATGCAAGTGTTGTTGTTCATGCAAATTTGGATGCAAGTGTTTCCCATGCTTCATTCGAAAGCAATTTTTCCAGAATGCAGAAGTTTATGGTTATGCGGTGTTTCCTACTCTGAGGACGTGCACGAGCTGTGCGAGCGTGGAGAGGCGGAGTGCGTCTGGCTCCTTCTATCGCAGGGCATGAGCGTGAAGGCGCGCGACCACGAGAGCCACACTCTGCTGCAGAAGGCGACCCACAGCTACAGGACTCGAGGAATTAGCCTGGCGAAGGACCCAACCATACGCAGTTGAGTACCGCAATTGTGAATCTCTTCTTCGGTGGCGCTCCCTATGGGGCCACGAAGCGCTGTACTGGGTGGGCGAAGCGCAGGGAGCAAGGGAGGTGTTGGGTGGTGGCGGACGCACGCGGGCGGTGCCAGTGGGACCTTCGGTCGAGCCCCCTATGGGGCCGCGAAGCGCTGTACTGGGTGGGTGAAACGCAGGGAGCAAGGGCTGTGCTGGGTGGTGGCGGACGCATGCGGGCGGTGCCACTGGGACCTTCGGTGGGGCGCCCTTTTATGGGGCCACGAAGCGTTGTTTTGGATGGGTGAAACGCAGGGAGCAAGGGCTGTGCTGGGTGGTGGCGGACGCATGCGGGCGGTGCTACTGGGACCTTCAGTGGAGCTCCCCATGGGGCCACGAAGCGTTGTTTTGGATGGGCGAAGCGCAGGGAGCAAGGACTGTGCTGGGTGGTGGCGGACGCATGCGGGCGGTGCCAGTGGGACCTTCGGTGGAGCTCCCTAAAAGGGCCAACAAGCGCTGTACTGGGTGGGTGAAACGCAGGGAGCAAGGGCTGTGTTGGGTGATGGCGGACGCATGCGGGCGGTGCCAGTGGGACCTTCGGTGGAGCCCCCTATGGGGCCGCGAAGCGCTCTACTGGGTGGGTGAAACGCAGGGAGCAAGGGCTGTGCTGGGTGGTGGCGGACGCACGCGGGCGGTCCCATTGGGGGCTTCGGTGGAGCTCCTTATGGGGCCACAAAGCGCTGTGTCGGGTGGGTGAAGCGCATGGAAGAGGGAGGAGGGAGGAGGAGGGGGAAGAGGAGGAGAAGAGGAGAGGAAGGCGGGGACCGTCTCTTCAAAACGAAGACCCAACACCACAGGATGGTTGGGAACAAAACACGGCATGAACGGAAAGTGTCGGAGTTCCGCACGGATTTCTCGGATCGGCGCCGGGCTCCCCTTGGCGGCGCCTCCGGCGCCGCCATTGGCGAACTCTGCGCGCCAGGGAGGGGAATCCAGCGCCGATCTAAGAATCCGGTGGGGACCTCCAAGAGTTTGTGTCTATGCAATTTTCTGTTCTTCTGAGGACCCCTGTGATCAAGCTGCTCGTGGAGAGGGGCGCGAACGTGAACGCGAAGGGCGCCTACGGCTACACGCCCCTGCACGAGGCGTGCTACATCGGGAGCCTGGACGTGGTGAGCTGCCTCCTTGGCGCCAAGGCAGGGCCGCCTACGATCCGATGCGATTCGATTCGCTGGCTGGGTCTTCAATTCCCTCCTTCATCCTGCTCCTTTCTCGTCCTTCCTCCTCCCTCCTTCCTCGTCCTTCCTCCTACCTCCCCTTTCGTCCTCCCTCCCTCCTCCTCCTGTCGCCCTTCCTCGCTCACCCCCATCCCTTGTCCTCCCCTCCTCGATTCACTGGCATAGGCTGGGGCCAGCTGGAGCCAGACGCTGCGATCCGACTTCGATTCGGTTAGGGAGGATTCGCGGGCGACCCGATCCGTTTCTGGCCCAATCCAGCTTCGCGACTCGGTTCTCCTCGGCGTGACTCAGAGGAGCAGCAGGTCATGACGGTTATACGTTATCGCCCGGACTCCCAACGTTCCCCATATTCCGTATGGTTTCGCACGGTTCCAGAAGATAGGGTCGTTAGATATTTCAGAATCCTTGAAACGTGTCCTGAGGTAATCGCATCATGATCGGTAAGGGTTCGGCTTGCGCACAGGCAGCCGCCCCCAGGTAGTCAAGGGCTGGCCTCAACAGGCCTCCCGAGTATTTCGGGGCGGTCTCGACACCGCAACCTTGGGGTGCGGAGCGCCCCAAGGGCGTCGCCAGACTGTTCGGGGAGGCCAGCTGGGACGATTTGGGGCGGCCGTCTGTGCGCAACCCGAAGCCGCACCGATCATGACATCATTCTCGTCCGAGTGCTATAAGAACCCGGAGCTCCGTGCGGATTCCTTGAATCGGCTCTGGCCTCCCCATCCTGGCGCGCGGGGCGCGCCAGGGGCGGCGCTGGAGGCGCCGCATGGGGGGGCCCAGCGCAAATCCAAGCAACGCAAGCAGAACGGCGAATGGTTTAAGATTATGTTCTTGTTTCTTGGAGTCCGCCTTTGGGGAGACAGCGTACCCATAACGATACTTCTCGGACCTCTAACCGCTAAAGGTCTGTAGTTTGGGTCCCCCCCCTTTCTCTCGGCGGTGCTGGTCCTAAAGTTTCCTCCTCCTCCTCCTTCTCCTCCTCGTCGTCCTCCTCCTCCTCCTCCCCCTCCTCCTCCTCCTCCTCCTCCTCCTCCTCCTCCCTCTCCTCCTCCTCCTCCTCCTCCTCCTCCTCCTCTTCCTCCTCCTCCTCCTCCTCCTCCTCCTCCTCCTCCTCCTCCCGCTCCTCCTCCTCCTAATCGGCGTTTCGGAGCGAGCGATTGAGGGAACGACTTGCCCGAATTACGCCAAGCGCGCACCATACCGAACCCCAAACGGAGAAAGGGGAAGGGGGATGGCTACGCCTCTCCTGCGCGTGCTGCCGCTGTTGCTGATGAGAGCTCCCTATTACAACTCGTACGCGGCCAGCACGCATGAGAGATTGGAGGACATAGTAACGAACAGTGGCACTGGGGCATTCGACTTTTTAAGTGGGGCACACAAATGGGCAGCTGGACCTGAACATAATCAAACAGTGAACACGAGTCTTCACTGGGGAGTACAACGCGGGAGGGGGGGGAAGCAAATGGATATCCCAAGTGTGTGGTACCACGGTTCTGCTCAACAGCCGAATTCCTGAGGCGGCTTCCAGAAGAGTATACACACCGCCATCCAGTATTCAAGGTACATAGAGTGTCAGGAGTCAGACTGTGCTGCGACGGGGGAGACCTGCCTCCCTTTTGTGTTGTACGTGGCCCCCAGATACTACACAAGAGACGACGACATTGCGAACAGCGTAGTGGGCCGGGTTGAACAATGTGAAACATTGGGAGTGGCTACGCCGATAGCGGAAGGGGACCTCAATGCACAGTTCGGATCCCATAGGACCCAGAAGGCTCGCTTGTTGATAGTACTAACGACGCTGCGACGGCGGGCCATTACGGGGGAAAGTTGGGAAATCAGAATGGGAGGGCATATAGGACATTCTGCGCTCAGAGTGGACTTTCTGCGGCGACGACGCACTGGTTCTGCGGACCGACGCGCCGCAGCCCAGCTGGAGACCCAAGCGCGATAGACCACATCGCCATCCCCACCTCGGCCCTGGAAATAGTGGGGAGATGCGCGACGCTGAGGAGCCAGGGCAAGTGATTGCAGCTCATGACACGCAGAGGCTTCAAGGACCACCCCCCAATAGGAATAGTTCCCCCCGCCGCGGTGACCACCAGGATCCGACCTCTTCCGGCCCGCCCCGAAAGCCCCGACAGGGAGGCACTTATGAGGTTCGTCAGGGAAGGAGACAGGAACGCCGAGCTGTTCTACCTCTTTTCCCAGGAGTTGCAGGACCAGGCTAGACGGGGTGAAGCGACGGAAGGAACTGTACCCGACGCCGCCTGGGATTTGCAGGGGGAAACAGGCAGGGAGGCCACGAGGAAGAAGTTCCCGAAGGGGAAGCAGGAGGACCGCGCAGTGGAGGAGTTTAGGAAGAAGAGAAGAGAGCTGCTCAAACAGGGGAGATAAATCAGATCATGGCACCATGATTTCATGACTGGAGGGAGACGCAGAGGAGGAGGTTCTCAAGAAGTTGCAGGAGGAACTGGCAACCGCGTCAGCAGCGTTGAGGCTGCGGAGGAGAAAAGGAAGGCAAACGTAGCGGAGAATATTTGGCGGGCTTACGATCAGACAGAACACAGTGAGACGCGTGGAAACGGCACTACTACCCCCCACGGACTTACTGGGGCAGGGAGAAGTGGTTGCACGAGCTTGGCAAGCACCCCCACAAGGGAGGCACGCCAGCGGAACTTATTTGCAGTCAGATCCCACGAGAGAGCCGCAGAGAGACACGCGAATCCAGGCCGACGCTGGCAGAGGACGCAGATGCGATAGCGCTGGCTGGCCAGGACGAGAGGGGCATGTTGCAGCACTGTAGGGAGGCATGGGAGAGAAGAGCTCTCCCTGACTGGGGGGCCCCAGTGGAATTGACTCGGAAGACCCTTGCGCGCTTGGCAATCCATGAGAGGAAGCGGGGATCAGAGCAGCAGGAGCGCGATGAGGAGGATTTGGAGAAAAATAAATCTTCTCACGTTTTAAAAAGGCAGGCAGATGCTACAAAAGATGGACTGGTCGACGGGGCAGAGGCCCGGGGCGGTTGGAGGAGTGAGCGATGGTGCAGGCTTGCGAAAGCAGACCGCGCCACGTTCACAGAGTGGCGAGAGCAGGATTGGGTGCCATTCCTATCCCCGCGACCAGCCGGGGCCCCATCTCCCCCGCTTTCCTGACGGGGGGGGGGGGGGCTCCTGAAATTCCGAACTTCTGGGACTACCCCGTTGGATTGGCATCGCCTGCGCGCTTCCGACGCGGATGAACGCAACGACAAAGAAGACATCGCATGCAAGCGCGCCACGTTCGCGCGCTGCCGCGCGGGCATGGCCCGGCTTGAAGGCGCGCGCAAGAGAGGGCCCCAACCTGAGCACCCTTCGCTGGCGCCAGGCGGTCTTGCGCACATGTGCGCGGAGAACGTTGTTTTTTGTTTCGCACTGCCAGCGCGCAGCGGGGGGCGCCGCGAGGGGGGGCCAGCGCGGTGCGCAGCAATTGCGCGAATGCGCGCGAAAGCGCGAGGCGCCCCTGCCCCCCCCCCCGGCAGCGTCAGCTCGGCGGCGCGCGAGAGGGGGGGGAAGTGCACTCAGCTGGGGCGATTCATCTACTTACATTCGGCATGCATTGCGCCGACGGATGGATCCACGGAGCGACGGCGCTGGGGGCGCTGGTGGGGTTTGCGCAATGCCCCGGAAAGTTCAACGACACGCGCAGCATACACGTTTAAACATGGGGGAAGTGAGGGCGGCAGACGAAGCGCCACATTGCGCGACGCAATGCACTCCATCAGGGGTGACCCCCACGACTTCGCAATCAACGCGCGCGCGGGTGGTGCGACGAAAACGACGGCGACCCCTCGGGAAGCGAAAGCAGGACGAGTCGCTGACGCCCTCAACAGGGGCTCGGAGCTACTGGCATGGCCAGGGCCATCGAGGAAGGAGTGCGGGCAGTGAACCCAGGGAAGACCAACCGCCTACTCTATTTGCTTGGACACGGAAGGTTTGCCACGTCATGGGATTTCGCGCAGCCAAGGGGCTACTGGGCACTGCATGGCGGGAGATGGCGAACGTCTGGGCCCCGCCCGCCTTCGGGCCGGGCACTGGCGGGCGAAATCGGGGGGGGGGGGGGGGGCGCGAATGTAGCGCTCAGGCCATACGGCTGCTTCTGGGGACGTGACGCGTCGGATGACATAAGGATTCGTCTTCGTTGCGTTCGTAGTTGGCGCAGCTCTCAGTGGCCGCGCAGCTTTCGTCTCCCCATTCATTTGACCGGAGCGCCGGGCGCGGCGACGGGGATGCTGCGCGGGAGAGCGAGTCAGGAAGACGTGTGTTGGAGGACAGAAAACGGCAGCGTCAGATGCAGCGCCGCGAAGCAAATATTTCATCACTGGAGAATCGACCGATGTGCTCTCGCACTAAGAGCCCACCGCCTGAAATGGCACCAACAATGGGCCCGCTGTCCGCAGGGGGCGGAACAACTTCGGGAAGGGAAGTGGGTTTGCGACGGCCCCGCCCCCCAGGCCATTCAGATGGCGGCGGCGACCCGCCGGCGCGGGCGCGCCCGGAGACGGGGCGCGCGCGCCCCAGGGGCCGACGCCCGGGAACTGCGGGCGCAAACAGACGCCAACGCATTGTGAGGCTGGGCACAACGCAACGATAAGGATGGCCCACGCACCCTGGAGGAAGCTGAGGAAGTGGGAGAAGAAGCGGGATAATAGGCCAGCCTTTTCTGGCGCAATTGGGCGCGCGTTGACGCGGTGGGGGCGGAGACAGTGCGCGGACAGAGATCATCGACGGCCCCTGCTCTATTGGCGCGCGGGAGAGGAAACAACGTAAAGTCAGACCCCTCATCGCGTCTCTGGCAATAACCAACCAATGTCCACGGTGTCTCAGTACTTTTCCCATGGGGGCAAGTGCCGTGGATCGCGCCGCTAGAGCAGCGGACGGTCGCAGTAGTTACAACGAAGGGAACAGATGCTGGGCGCGCGAAGTTCGGGCGCCCACGACGGGGGGATTCCGCTGCATCTGCGACCGCCAGGCTCAACGCGCCGCGAGATGTTCAGCTGCGCGCTCGCCCCCACCACCACGGCCCAGAGCATTTCAGAGAGCCCCGGCCAGTGCGGGGGCGCGGCGCGGGGGCCCCCGCCCCCGGCGCGGCCTGCAGCAGGAAGACGCGCGGACGCACGAGGCATGGGCTTCCAAAAGATGCGCAGTGCCAAGGGGGAAGAAGGCATCCGCGCTATCGACGCGACGATGGAGGAAGGGGCGGGGGCAAGCGGGCCATGGGCAGCGGCGTCGGCGGCAGGCGCCTTGGGAGGCGGAGGACAGCCGCCGCGTCGAGGAGGAGGGGCCCCAGGTCAGCAGTCGCCGATCGACCTCACTGCGGCCGCGAACAGTTGGCAGAGGCTCGCCCTCGGGACGGCGCAGGACACGAGCGAAGCGAGGCAGATCGCGACAGACTTCCAGCCCGTTCCCCCCAGGTGCCAGCGGCGAAGGCGGCGCTCTCAAGCGCCGAGGCGCATGGGGCATCAGTCAGAACAAAAGGGAGAGGGCGCGAATCGCCCCCCCCCCCGCGCCCGCCCAACCATCGCGTTCCTGACGGCGCTGGCCAAGGCCGCGCAGGAGACCGCGGAGAGGGAAGGGCCCAAGCAGGGCATGGGGTGGGCAACGAACTGCATCTTGGAGTGGCTCAAGGCAGTCGTACAAGCATTCGA